AGATGAAGTGATTCCAAGGTCAAGCTGCTACTGAATCTGAGATGGAACTCAAATAAATGAGTTTTGTGCCCAGCCTACTAGACAACAGTCTTACCTCAGAAATCCAAAATAAAGGCAACACATTTTTATACCTCTTATCACTGCAGCATTGTACAGAGATACGAAAGCATTGCTTTCATTAGGTTTAGACATATTCCACTGGGATCCGTTTGACCTGCAGTCTTTTCTCTACTTTTTCAAATGTATTTATTGATTCTATTGATTGAGGCATCTGTTTTATGTGAAGCCATCATTTGTTCTTGTGGAACACTATTTAGCAGCTGTTATAGTTTAGACAAGGGGTGGCAAGATAGAATTAAACCAATACAGAGTAATATTTTAACACCTGGCTGGACAACAGCAATATCAACAAAACTACTTTTAGAAAACTAGTGAGTTATTTTTCAGTATTTTGACTCTGATGGCAGTGTGGACTGTTCTTTTAAAAAGAAGTCTTGAAACTATAAAAGCATTTTTACATAGGTAGTGAGAGTTCTTTATACAGATTTTTTTCTTCCATCTGTAATTTTTCAATTAGACCCCGTTTCCTATCAAAGCTATGGCTCAGTTTTTCCAGATAAATTATGTTAGATCACTGAATATCAACACATTTCTTCATTAAAATATTAATGTCTCCAAGAAATTTTGAGTTTTGTTTGCACGTTAGTTTAAATTCCACTTCATGAATAAAGTAAGGATACAAATTTTCAGTGAGATGAGAAAATTCTGAGGCAAAAAAGATTCCAAGGCATTTAAAGAACAGTTGATAAAGCACCTGCTAAAATTACAAAGTGTTCAGGCTGTGGTCAAGATCAGATTCTTTTGCTTGCATACAAAATGTCTTTGCATCTGTACAGTTGAATGTGCTTAAGAAATTTTGTACATGAAGCCATGTTACTTAAAATACTATGTGCCATAGCAAGCAAAAGACTTAAAATATTTTAATTATACTGTGCTTCATAAACTCAGTACTCTGCTCAGAAGCTTTTCTATCAATGTGCTGGCTGAAAGAACAGACTCTTTTTATCTATGATCATTTAGGACTGTTAGAAATTGCTGCTGTACCAAAGAATTACATTGCTTAAGATGAAGAAAAACACTCAAGTGCTGCATACCATTCTGCTCTTTGCAGTGGGAAAATACTGCTGTAAAATTGCAGTAAAAGTACTGCATCCTTCTTTTATGCTACTTCACTGGAGAGATTACAAAGCTTCAGTTTCTTCAATGACTCGTATAATCTAAACCTCTCAGTTTTCATATCATCAAGATAGATAGACAGGGAAATAAACCAATTTGGACTATTTCCACTAGCTCCAAGCAGGTGCACATTTGCTATACCTGCCAGCTGACCCTCATTTTGCATGTCAAACATTGTACTGAATTTGAGACAGAAGAACTGGCAGCAACCTGAATTTCATTTAGTTTAGCTGCTTCTGGTTATCCTCTTACTTTCCACTGCTTTATGGTCTTTACTGCAGTTGAGGATGTCAAGAGGATATAAAAAAAGAAGGGTCACTTTTCAAATATTAATGACCATTTCAAACAGATGGAAGATTCTTATGTGACTGGAAGAACAGTGCTCAAAACATTTTTCTTGCTTAAGGGGTAGGAATGAAATCTTCAGGCAAAATTTAGTATTTCTATGATTTTTCTTAAAGGACCGAGTTCTACCAGTTTTATTTTTGTGCAGCAATGTTTGCTTCATGTAGCTGTGCAGGCTTACAATACTAGGAAATAAGCAATGTTTTCTGTAAGAATAAAAGGTATGCATACCTCCCAAAGGCACACAAAGACACTCTAGTGTGTCACATGTTAACCGGGTCTTCCTGCAGCAGCTGTCCCATGTAGTGGTAACGTGGGTAAGAGACAAAGTTTCTCGGCTTCCATTCATCTTTGAACTCAGCAGGAATTATAAACCAGAAGTCAGTGTCTCATATATTTGCTGCCACAAAGCACTGTACTCCATCTCCCCATTGCTCTTCCCACTCTGGTCTTTGCTATGATCCTATTAGTTCTTTTATAACCTTCAGGTCTTAAGCAAAATATGTGTGTATTGTAGACTCAAACCTGTGCAATTACTTTCCCCAAAATCTCAGTAAACACCAGGTAAAAAGATTGGGATAAGTAGAAATATGACTACATTTGCAAGGTTTTAGGGCTCAGGTAAATATAAATATATTCATTTTGTTTTCACTACCAATCTATGGAAGTTTCATGAAAATAGCAGATTTTATGTTCATTTTAAACAGAAAAATAATACTTCCACCTCAGAAAGATCCAAGGCCACAAATTTTTGAAGGGTTAAGAGTATGCTGGCCACATACAGTCTTCCCCAGTTAAACATCACTGATGATTAGGACTTAGGTACCAGGGTATGCATATGAGTGTGTTCTTTCTTATCAACTAGCTGTGATGAGGGAAAACACATATAGGTTCAAGAATTTGAAATTACAGATTTTTATAATTAGTATTATAGATATCTTCACACATTTGCAAGAAGAGCTGAAGTACACAGTCGTTTTCCAAAGTTGTAAGAGGTCAGGCATAATATTAATTACTGGGAAAGGTGTAGCACATTCCCCTCCTGCTGCTACCTGCAGAGAATGTTTACTTGATCTGCATGAGTTGCCCAAAGGTTTTTCTTATTCTGTCAGTATTTCTCAACTTCTGTTACTCTGGAGGCCTTAGAAGTGCAGTAGGGACAGTAGAAAAAAAGTATATTTTAAACTTACATTGGAAAAGAGGAAGGTGAAGAAAAAATTGTTATCTTACCTGACCAGACAAGGAAGGTAATTTTGTACTGATAAGGTCTTTTGAGCAGAGGAGAGGAGGAATGGTTTTCACATATTTGTCTTTCTTTTGAGGTTATCAATTTGGAAACACTGAAATAAATTTTGAGAATTTGGGTACAGATTAGTGTCTGGTACATACCTGCTCCTGAACATCTCTTACTTTCCAAAAAGCCCCAGTGGCCACATATTTGTCTTGGTCCTTTATTTGGTGACTGGACATGTACAGGTTCTTTGCTGACTGACTAGAGGCAATGTCTCAGAAACTTTACATGGCTAGTCTCCCATGATAAGAAACTTATGGAGCAAATACAAAACTGTCCCTACTTAAGTAAAACCTCAATGGAATAGCACAAATAGCTGCCTGCTGAGGGCCCAGGCAAATATATTTTATCCTTCATTATACTACCTGTGAACAGATGAATTTTCCAGATTTTCTTCTACCACTTTTTTATATCCCATTATAATTTTTGCAACATATAGTGAGCGATTAATCCTTTCTGATGAGTCAAAAAATTTAAAAGTAAAAAAAACCAACAAAAAAACACAACCAAAAAACATAAAGGGCTAATTGAAAGCCACTTCAGTAAGGTAAAGCAGACAGTTCCATGATTGGGCACATCCTCTCCATACTGTACCAGAGGCCCCTTGTCTAAACACAAAAAATATCCCAAGGACTCTCAGGCCATTTAGTTAACAGCAGGTAACCACTCAGTGAAGTCCATATACCTCAACTGGATATGAAAATCAATAAATAATATAGGGGATGAAGGCAGAGGGCGATATAGGTACCTATGAATTGCCTCCACAAAGATTACACAGACAAAAGCTCACTGAGCAAAAGCTGCTTTAGTCTGTAGATACACAGGATAAGAGCTGTCTCAGCAATACTCTTCCATAAAGCCACAATCTGGCTTCAGAAAGGGGCCTGCCTCCAGCTAGGTTTAATAGCACGGAAGCATCTGTAGAAGTTAGGCTGATATTCTAGTTCTTTCTCAAAGAAGGTTTGGGTGTTATCTTACACAACTCATATGGAAGTTAAGTATACACGGTGAAACAGCAAGATCCTCAGAGTAAAAAGAGATGACCTTGGAGACAGGTCTCAGAGTACTTTGCCTGCAAACAAGAATATAATCTACTACTACCAACATCACTTTTGCATGTTCATGCAGAAAGAATGGCTATTGTTCCTCTGATTCTGCAGCCTTTGAGTTAGACAGATATTCTATGAAAAACCTCAATTGTTCAGCAACATTTACTGTGATAACTAACTTGAAAGAGATGATAACTAACTTGAAAGATATTTTTTTCCCTTTTACATTTTTACATTCCAATGTAATGACAGGTTTTGTTTATTCAGTGGCTTCTGATATGAATACATAATTTGAATTACACAATGAAGTTCAGTATCATCTCCAAAGGAGGCACAGCACATTCCTATTCAATACACTTCTGCAAAGTAACAATTCTTTATTTCCCTGACCAGTAGACTGAAACTTACTGGTATGTGATTTCTGATGCAAAACACTGACTACACAAGTGAATGAACATATCTGTCACTGTTGCAAGTCTCAGGCTTAGAAAACATAAGCTAAGACTACTTAGAATAATTAATCTGTAACAATAAATACATAATGATTTTATATTTTTCATACTGCTGCCTGTTTATCTGACATAAAATTGTCTTCTTTCCCTTCCTTCCTTTCTTTTTAAAATATCTTTTTCACTTTTTATTAAGCCTGTGGGTTGTTCATACAGTTTGGTTGGGTTTTTTTACAATACAGTCAAGGAGAGCAACATGGTTGATTTCCAGTCCCTGCTACACTTGTTATCTCAGAACTCGTTCACACTATTCAATTCAGACAGCAGCAGACTCTGAGGTATATTGCAGATTACTGGAAATAGGTGTTCATTTGCCCATCTGGAACTCCCAAAATACAGAGAATTGCAAACTCTCAACTGGTAGTTCTCATGTCGCAAATGAGTTCTGAGTAAGAAGAGCTTGAGGGTTTGGGACTAGTGAATAGTGACAGATAAAAGCCTTGGGGAGGATCTCCTTTAAACAGCCACAGACTGCAATGGGAGCTCTGGTAATTGTAGATCATTGTGAGTGTCAGTTATTATAACATAATAAAAGGTAAGTAAAATAAGACACTGTGCACATTACAACACCTGGATGAAAATATCTTCTGCAGAATCTACACTTTCTGCTGTGTTATGATCAGACTTCCCTAGATCAGAAATAGTTGTTTAAATATTACAAAAGGAAAAAAGGCCAGAATATTCCATTTCTTATTTAATAAATATGTGCATTTTCCACAAATTGCATCTTTCCCAGAATGCATAACGGGTTGTGAAAGTTTTCAGTGACAAAGTTGAACAATTATGCAGCTAAGAAAACTATATGACAAGATTGACCCATAGAGGAAACAGAGGTGTTGTATCAAGTCTGTTACACTATGAGAAACCATAGTTTAATTTCCATGTATGTTGATCATCTGGAGAATAAACCTGGGTTTCTAAAGTCACAGACCTTCCCTCAGTCTTAAGTAATGCTGGATAAGTTAAGCAGTATAACTTAAGATGAACATAACGGAAGTAAGCTCTAAGGTAATCAATAAGATATTATTGAAAATTTGGTAGAATAAAAACGTGCATGGGATGATCTGCTTAAAGTCTTACTTATTTGCTTGAAAAATGTCAACTTTTGCAAAAAAATCTTTCAGCTTTATTAAAAAATAGTCTTTAAAAAAAAATAATGGCATTGTGCAAAATAATTCTATATACATCTACACGAATACAAATCAAGAGAATGAATATATGTATATGGGTGGCTGGGTGGTCAGGTGGGTTTGTTCGTAAGTTTTGTAAAACTGAAAACCTTTTTGGTTGTATAACAGAAGACAGAGGTTGCCAGTTTTCAGGGTGTTATTTTTTGTAACAGGAGTGTAAAAGATTTCAAATTTAATTTTCTCATATAAACATGAAATCCGTTTTAAACAGCTTTAGTAAAAATATTTCACTGATATAAATATAATCATCCAAATTAGGGAGATATTATTCCTTATGTAGTACAACAGCTTCATGCAGTCAAATATTATTTTTTCACATTATTGATCTCTAGTGTATTAAGATGAAGATTTTATATGTTCTTGCTTTCCAAAGCACTGCATAAGCTTGTTCTACAGTGGACAGATCAGTATCCATCAGTTATTTATATTAGATGTTAACAAGTGTTTTTTGAGTAAGACGGCATGTCTTTTCACTTCTAAATTCTGATCATATGGGAAAATCTTCCTCAAAAGCACAGAGCACAATTTGAAAATGTACCTAAATTTTAGCTGCCACTCATTAACATGCCCATTAATCTTGGCAGCAAAAGACATGGGAGAAAGCAGAACAACCTAAAATGTCTCTTTTTTTTTTTAAAGCCAATCTCCTGTATATTTTACTTTGTTCTGTGATTTAAAATGTGATGTTGTGTAGCACCAATGAAGTACAGGAAAACCTGAAAAAGATTAGCAATGCTTTATGACTATTTCCTTTTTTGTTCTTCTTTGTGCCATTGGAGATGAAATGTTTTCAGCAGCTGTCAGCACTGTGTAAACACAATGGTCACTAATTTAGAAGGTTTAAGCCAAAGGAAAGCACATGAAAACAAATACAATGATAAAGAAAGAACTGGCTTTTCTTTATCAATTTTGCCTTGATGACAAGCGATGAGTTGCCAGAGGAAAGTGTATCAGTGTCATAGGCATGTCTATAAAAAGGCTTTTTTGCCTGTTATTGAAAAAGGGAAAACCAGCCTTTTTCTCCTATTTTTTATTTTGCTCACCTATATTTTATCAATGCAGCCACTTAGAAAGGCCAATCTACCAATTTAAAACACCACAGGCATGGTTATCTATGCCACTGTGTTGAAAATGTTGGTGGGTATTGATCACTGTGTTGAAATTTGTCAGTCACTTATGTAATTGGGCTACCCTGGAATGGCTTCTGCAAAAAGATTTCTTAGCACTTTTATTTTTTTTAGTCTCAGTGTGGCTCCCCTGTTGTATTTAGCAGGCTCCAGCACTTCTTTTACTAATATAAATAGTAACAATATTTCTTACCTCTGAGGAATTGTTTTAAAGTTTTTTTTTTCTGAGTTTAACTTCCTGAATCTGTTCTTAATCCCTTACTAAATGCTGTTGGCAAGTATTAGCCAGTAAGATTAACTGTAATGTGTAGGCTTTTTTTAGTATCTGCAAATAGCTGTGAGTAATCCTCATTTAGGCATGGATCTAATTCACATGTACTTTTGCAACTGAAGAATAGCATTAGAATGTAAATGAGAATATTTGAGAAATTATTTAAATAAAAATTAATTGAAAATTAATATCAGTGTGTAACCTTATTTTTATGCATATTTAAAATTCTCACTTGAAGGAATTCAGTCAATAATAGTTCACAGAAGTAACTAAACTAAGACAGTCAGAAAATATATCTGACCTTATGCATTTAAGCTTGTTATAATTTATATATATATATATTATACAGATGTAGAAGGAAGTTATTTCCTAAGTTTCCTAAAGTCGAGTAATAACCATAGGCAAAATATTTTATCTCAGTAATACAAAAATGCAACTTTTTAAATTATCTCAATGCTATCAGCAATAATTATTATTATTGCATTCTCATCTATCTGGAACAAACTCAAAGTGTTTTAAGATTAATCATTAATAACAATACATGATAAAACAAGTAATTAAGAGCAAAAAAGGTTATAGTTCATAGTTAATTTGGCCCATTCCTTCTTTAGGAGTCTGATAATCTAGACTCATATCATTACTACTCTTTATTACCTGTTCATAAAGTATTAATTACTGATAGCCTGTGGATCTGAAACATACTGGAGTCTCACACACACACAAAATAAATAAATCCCAAATGACCTATTAATTATTTTTTTTCTCCACTGTGTTTGGTTATGATCCAAGGGAAGCTAAAAACAAATACATTTTCAATGTTTCCATTATTTGGGTTTGAAATTTTTCTAGAATAATTTGAATTTTTTTTTAATACCTGGGCTAATGATCCCTACTTTGCTCTCAAATTTAAATGAGACTTACATCTAATCAAGGTTCAAAATCTTGATTCTTTCTGTAACAGAAAGAATTTGTAATGACATGGTCATTTAATTTCTTTTCCCGAGGATATCAGTTAAGCACCTTTCACCAGATTCAGAACTCACGTAATACTGTATGGTAATTTGAGACTGTGAAATGAATGCCAGACAGCAGAACAGCATGACTGTCTGACGCGTGATCTTTGCTGACTTGAACTTTGTGTAGTCATTTACTGTTGTGCAAAGTAGATACAGGTTGCTACCAAACCGGATTTTTCCGCCAATGTTTCTGTGGACCAAGTACACAAGGTAACAGTGACTATGACAGGCGATAGGGAATATTGCTAAGTGACCAACTAGAACATTTGCTTAAGCATTGTGTGGAGATATGAAAGTCGGACTGTGCATGCAGTTCTGTTGTTCAGGCTTTACTGTCCACAGTTTGTTAATTTTTTTTTACAGTGAAGGGTTCAAGGAAAACCTTGAAATTCCTCAGAGGCGTATTGATTTGGCAAGATTTAGCCCACCACTTGGAGCAAATCTGTACATGAGTTAATTAGAAGCAAGGGTTTAGAAAGGGATCACTTGCAGAATGTTTTATACTCTATAAGCAAGACAGTGTGCATATATACTTTGAAATTACTGTGCTCTAGTTAATTGAATTGCGTAGCTATACTAGAATAGATTAAGAAATATATATGAATATGTTTTTATGTAGAATTTAACATTGTGAGACAGTGACATATTTACTAAGCAAATAATAAAAAAGGTTCCCCTACTCCTTTTATTTTTTTCCTTGATTGAGATGTAGTCCTAGTTTTTAGGCACAAAATGAAGAAAGGAAAATGTTCTATCAGCTCCGTATTCTAAAATAACTAACCATGCTACACAGAACAATCAAATCCACTGTATGCTTTTGAAAATTCAGTATTCTCTTTCATAGAAATCTGAACTATTAAAATGAGACTGATTATAGATACCAATGTGTATTAATAAAAAGATGTAATCGAACATTTAAATAACTGCAGTGTGGGGGAAAACCAGCAAATTCTCTCTTTCTGAATAACTGTTCATAGTACTTGTGGATCCAATTGTAAATCTACATAACATCTTTGTGCAGTGCAGTATATGAAACCATTTTCAAAGCACTAAGAGAAACCCAGATCAAGATACTAATTGGAGGAAAATATAATCTATATGGATGGGATTTTCAAAAGTATTAAAAATTACCTTCATTTAAAATAATTGAATAATTTAAAATAGGAAGTAAAATACCTTTTGTACAGTTTAGCAATGCTAGTAACACTATTTTTGCAGGAATACTTTCAACAGAAATCTCTCACTCTTATCCACTAGGTGGTTATTTTATGTCCATGTAGTGAGTACGTTTAACACAACCAACATATTTCTTAACCAAATCTATCTTTTTCAGCTCACATTACATTCACTGAATATTTTTGTCAAGAAAAATCTAAGATCAGTATAAATTTTAAAATGCTGAAACACTTGTTAATAAAACAGAAAAATAATCATATTCAAGTCACAGAACTCAATTTACAGTCTTAGACATTCAATGATTGTCACAGTATTTTTGACACTTTTAATATGCAGAAATCACAATTACAATTGAATTACAATTACTAATATAAATGACAGTTACTGTATGCTTATATATTAATGCCAGCTCCTTGTACCTGAGCTGCTTTGTATATAGGAACAAACATTTTGATCTAATACTATAATTTTTATTTCACTACTGCCAGTTTTCAAAGAGATAGACAAAAGAACAAGTTATATTTTTGAATAAGCAAACTATTTTAAAATCTAGTGACCTTCAAGCATTTTGTTAATTTGGTGGGACATTTTTCTTTTGAGTTCAGACCAATATGCTTACCCTATGCCAGAACAGGACTATTAACTTGAGTGAGACTCCTGGAAAAAGTAAATAATGATGATATTCTGATATGTAGAAAAAGCTGAGCATAACCATAAGGTATTACCACTGAAGCTTTGAAATCATAGCTCTGGAGTATCAGCTCCACATCTTTTAGACACTTAGAAGTTTGACACATTGTTTTACAGACAGAGTAGGTCCCAGCTAAGTCTCTAATAGTATGATATATT